GCTTGCGTTTTCATAATAATAATAATAATAATAATAATTTCTATTATTATTATTAATATTAATAATAATAATAATCCTATTATTATTATTAATATTAATATTAATAATAATAATACAAACAAGTGCAGGAGACAAGAGCGAGAATACACTTCGTTGCATTTTCTGTCTGTCTCTGCATTTGTTTATTTTTTTGTTGTTTTATGTTTTATATGCTGTTTGTTTGAATGCTTGTTTTTGTGTTTAAACGTTTTTATTGTTTTCTTCAGCTTTTGTTTGATTGCTTGTTTGTCTGTTGGGACTGTTGGGATATGTAGATTGTTTTAAGAGATTAGTTTGCTGCTTGTCTCTCTTCTTGTCTATTCTTTTTCTATTTTTACATTATATGTTTGCTTGCCCTCCATCATCGTTTGTCTTTTTGTTTTTTTTTGTTTTTCTTTGGTTTTACTCCGTTTATTTGATTGTTTACTTTGCTTTCACTTGCTATTTATTGTTTGTTAGGGTGCGTGCACTCCTTATTTGCTTTTCTTTCTTCGTTTATTACATCTCTTTTTATGTATACATAGATATATGTACATATATATATTATATGCAATATATTTAAATTCTTAAAATCATTTTACTTAAGACTAACGAAGGACAGAAGAAAGGGTTTTCTTCTTTTTTTTCTGCATTTCTTATGTGGTGTCTACGCAAAAAAACAAAAATATTTGTTTAATAATACTAATTTAGAGTTTATTTGAGTTTGTTAAGTCATTTGGAGACACAAATAAACGAAATATTTGTACTCCTCAGGTGTATATACACCTAACTGTAACAAACACAAACAAATACAACACTCGCCTGCAAATAATTTTTTAAAAACTAAATTTGCGGTGTATATACACCTGAATTAAAGATCTTTTTATTCTCTTCTGTGACATAGTAAACGTAGAACGCTGTTAAACCCAATTAAAACCCTAGGGTTTAGGGTTTAGGGTTTAGGGTTTAGGTTCCAGGCCCTGAGGGTTTGGGGTTCAGGTATGAGGGTTTAGCGACGAATATTTCAAGCACAGGTTTTAGGGTTTAGGGTTTAGACCCCATAATTTAGGGTTTAGGGTTTAGGGTTTAGCAGCAGGACACAGAAAAGAAGACCCCCGGTTTGTCTTTATTGCCTCCTAAACCCTAAACCCTAAACCCTAAACCCTAAACCCTAAGCCCTCAACCCTCAATAACAAGCAAAAAAGACATCAAACAAACAAATCCATTACAGACAGACAAAAGCAACAAAAGAATTAAAGAAAGAAGCAGCAAGCAAAAAACATCAAAGAAAAACACAGCAGGGCTTATACGGGTGTTATATAAAGCTGAGGCACACAAACAAATAAACAAATAAACAAATAAACAAATAAACAAAGAAAGAAAAAAACAAACAAATAAACATAACTAAATAAATAAACACATGCATGAATACATATCTAGATAGGAGCGTATTATATATTTAGAAATATGTTGATACAAATAATCTGCATATATATAAAGACATGTATATATATATATATATATATATATGTCTTTATATATATATATATATATATATATATTTGTAGTATAGGAAGAATATTTACGAATCTGCAGACTTCGTTTGGATATCAAGAAAAAAAGATGCAAACATTTTGAGTGTATATTCACAGCGTTTTAATATTTATTTTATTTTATTTATTTTATTTGTTTTAATATTTATATATTTGTTTTAATTTTTTTTTCATTTCAATTTGCTTTATTTGTTTCAATTTTTTAAATTTGTTTGAATATGCCTTATTTGTCTTGGTTTGTTTTATTTATTTTAATTTGTTTTTCTAATTTTAATTTTTTTAATTTTAATTTGTTTTACTTATTTCAATTTGTTTTATTTTGTTTTATTTGGTTGATTGTTTTTATAGATATTAAAATTTTTTTTTGCAGATACGCCGGTTTTCTTTCTAAGAACAATTTCTTATTATTTTTTATTTGATTTATTTTTATTTGTTTAATTTTAATTTTTAAATTTTACTGAATTGAATTTTTTGTTTTATTTCGATGTATAAACAGCGAAGAGAGAAGCAGCAGGGGCGGCGTCGGCCTCTGTGTCAAGGGGTCCCTAAGAAATTATTGAAGATAAACTCAATAAGCATCTCGAATAAACAATTTTAATGTTGAAATGAATTAAAATTAAATGAAAATAATTTTAAAAACCCTTTAAATAATATTTTTTCAAGTATTTCAAGCTGCATTCACTGAGGTGTATATACACCCGCCAGCACATACACTCCAAAGTCAGACAAATATACACATACATATACATATACATATAAATATACATATATGCACTTCTTTTTTCCTGTAGAAACCCTAAATATTTAATTTATGAAGTTGCATTCTGCATCCTCGTGCAGATATTTAAAAGAAGCTCTATTACAGCCAACTGAATGTCTTAGTAAGCAAATGTTTTCATAGAAAGGATTCATACACACAGAATAAATAAAGGCAATAACAAGTAGAACATAAACAGAGGCAGCTGCACATACACCTCAAAAACAAAACTCTGACGATGCGTCGGCTCCTAGCGAAAGCAGTAGCAGCAGCAACAGCAGCAGCAGCAGCAACAACAGCAACTGCTGCTGCTGCTGCTGCTGCTACTGCTGCTGTTGCTGTTGCCACCCCATAGATATTACAAGTGCATCAAACCCTATTGTAACAACCGAAGCATTCACTGATTTACGAAGAGGTGTACAGACACCCGTAGGCCTCAGCGCTGCTTTTGCTTGGGAGCTGCTGAAGGCATACCGACATCTTTCTTCTCTTTCTTCTCTGCATGCAGCAGCACAAAATAATACTTTTCAAGAAGCTGCTAAAGGCAGCATCAAAGGGAGTGAAGCACCCGCAAAACGGGTCTCTTCAAACGAAGCAGCAGCAGCAGCCGCTGCAGCTGCTGCTGCTACAGCAAAAACGTCTAACAAATCAAACATTTCTGCAGCAGAGACGGAAGCAGCAGTAGCAGAAAAAGTAGCAGCAGTTGCTGCTGGAGCAGCCACGCCTAACAAACCCAACATTCTAGCAGCAGAAGCAGCAGCAGCTGCTGCTGCAGCAACGTCTGACAAACCGAACATCCTTGCAGCAGCAACAGAACCAGCAGAAGCAGGAGAAGCTGCAGCAACAATCACTAGCAAACAAAACATTCTAGCAGCAGCAGCAGCAGCAGAAGCGGCAGAAGCAGCGGCAGCTGCAGCAGCAACGTATAAAAAACCGAGCATTCTAGCAGCAGCAGAAGCAGCAGCAGCAACTGCTGCTGCTGCAGTAGTACCGTCTGCTAAACCGAGCTTTCTAGCAGCAGCAGCAACAGCAGCAGCAGAAGCAGCAACAGCAGCAGCAGAAGCAGCAACTGCTGCTGCAAAAGTACCACCGTCTACTAAACCGAGCATTCTAGTAGCAGCAGAAGCAGCAGCAGCTGCTGCTGCCCCAGCAGTAGCACCGTCTGCTAAATCGAGCATTCTAGCAGCAGTAGCAGAAGCAGCAGCAGCACAAGCAGCAGCAGCACAAGCAGCAGCAGCAAAAGCAGTAGCAGCAATATCTCTTGAGCTGTTGCTGCTGGCATCAGTAGCCAGCCCTCAGCGAAGCGAAGCAGAAGAAGTTAAAAAGATAGAAATGTATATAGATAAAGTGCTGTTGACGGGCATATTAACTGAAGAGCAGCAGCTGAGAGCTATAGACAACTTAAAGAAGGAATTGAAGATAGTAGAAGAAGCAGTAATAGCAGTGAATAGACAAAAGGATATACCTCAAATAAAACCTTTAAAAAGAAAAGTTTATAAAAGGCTAATTGCTGCACGCAGCAAACAAAAAGAATTACAAAAGAAATTAACAGAAGCACTGGAGACAGTCAACGCCTTTCTTATATATTTCAACGGAAGGAAAGCTGCCTATACACCGCAAAAACAAACAATAAAAAGAAAACAACAACAAACACTGGCGAAAATTCAAACAACTATTAATATACTACAAAAAAAGAAAATATTTCTTCGCAGGTGTATAGACACCCTGCAAAGCGAAGACTAAAACTCAACTCCAATACATCTTTATCTATCATTTTTGTCTTTGTTTCTTTTATTTAACCTTCCTTCTTCTTTTCCTTAGGCTTGTTTAAATGCATACTTCTCTCGCCAAAACAAATGCCTTATCGACATCCCTTTATAAAAATAATAATTTAAAAAGTAATGGCAGTGGCATCCATACATAATAATAATAATAATAATAATAATAATAAGAATAACAATAATACTATAATGATAATAATAATACTATTATAAGAATAATGATAATACAATATTAATAATAATAATAATTATGACAGTACAAGCGAAATAATAAAAGAAGAGATGAAAGTAATAATAAGCATAGAAAGAAAGCAAAAAGATAAGCGCTTTCTGCGCTTATCTTTTTAAATATATGTCTTTTCTTGCTTTTCTTTATCTGCACGCTGGCTGTAATTAATAATACACCGATAAACCTACAGGTATTTATGTGTAGTGCATGCGGTGCTAATTAAAAACAAAACAACAAAACTTCGTTTATCTACAACATTAATAAAACAAATAATAAGGAGTAAAACAGAAACAATCTCATTAAAACAAATAATAAAAAATAAAGCAAGAAGAGGGCAAGCAACAAATCATATCTATCTATATATACTTGTTTAACATGCATCCACGTACATATATATCCATTTATTTTTTGACTATCTATCTATCTACCCTTAAATATATATGTGTATATATATTATTTATTAGTTTATTTACTCGGTATTCAATTAATTAATTTATTTGTCGCTCTCTCTATATACCGGTCTCGATTATAAATAATTTTTTTTAATTATGTGCCGATCCGCCAAACTATGCATCTACATTGAATTAATAAATCAACAAATAAAATCAATTAATTACTTAACAAAATTAATTAATTAATTTTATTTTTTTAAAGTTTAAAAATCAAATTTGTTTGCTGCGCTGGCCGGGGCGGCCGACGCCGGTGAAGTCCCAAATGCCTTCTGCTGTCTGTGCTGCCTCAGACTTATTCTCTCCTGCTGCTGCTGCTGCTGCTGCTGCTGCTGCATGCGTAGAGGTATTTGCATGCATAGGTTCATCTGCATGCACAGAGCTATCTGCATGCATAGATTCATCTGCATGCGTGGATTCATCCGCATGCAGTGGGGCTTTCTCCGTTTGCATGCACTGCGTTTCTGTTTTGATGTTTTTTGTTTGCTGCGGCGGTCGTTTGCTGCCGACGGGGACTCTGTTATATTTACGCATTAAAATGCGTTGAAGTTTTGCTTCAAGTTGCATCGAAGATTGATGGTTTGCTTCTGCTTGTGCCGCCGCTGCTGTTGCTGCTGCTGCTGCATGCGAAGCCTTTGAGGTGTCTCTTGAGGTCCTCTTTGCATGCGGCCCTGCAGCAAAAGCCCCAACCTCTGAATCAACAACACTCTTCTGCAAATGCAGAAAACGCTCGTTTGTCTCCCGCTGCAGCATACGGAGAGTTAGAAATGCTTTAAGAACTGATTGAAGGCCCCCGGCCCTCCACGGGGCGAAGTATGCGTCATGCCACTTATAATATAACCTGAAAGAAAAGAAGTAAATAAAAAGAATAAAAATAAATAATTAAATAAATATGCAACTAACATACACTCACAGATACAAAGCAAACTGCTAAACAAATATAGTTAAAAAATAAGACACACAAAATAAATAACAAACAAAACAAACGGAACAAACAAAGCGAAAATACTAAAGAAAACAAATCAGACTAACAACGCGTTCATCAGCAACAACAAGAAAACCGATTGCATGCAGTATGCAGATCCTCTGAAGCATTAACGCCACAGTACATGACCAGATACAGCAGAGACGTGTTTAGGGTTTAGGGTTTAGGGTTTGTAAGAGCGTTTGCGTGGGGTGTATAGACAGGTGGAACAGCATGCGGTGGCTGACTTGCGCGTCATTCTTCTGAAAAGAGAACGCGGACGAAGAATATCTTCAACTATATCCGGGTCTAGATCTTTAATATCAACCCCAACCTCTTTTAAATATTCTTTTCTTTTTGCACGCAGCCTTCGTGTACATACAACACCAGCATACTCCAATATCTGCTGCTTCCTGCTGTCCCACTGCTGCTGCCGCTGCTGCTGCTGCTGCAGGAAGTGTATATACACCTCCTCTAACTCATCCCAAGACGCCCCGTACACCCCAGCATACTTCCATAGCTCTTCTAGCCGAAGGCGATTGAGTCGAAGCTGAAGTTTATTCACACGCGAAGCACAGCTCAACACCTCCTCCTCCTCCTCCTTCTCAGCAGCAGCAGCAGGAGCAGCAGCAGATGTTGCTTGCTCTGCCTTCTCTTCAGAGTCGGATGCTGAGGAGACGCTGCAAGTGAACGGCTGGAGGCGGTGATTGTGCAGCAAAGGGTTAGGCCAAAGAACGTTGGGCTCGGGATACTGCAGCCACTTCTCCTCCTCCCCTGCATGCAGCTCTAAACCCGATTCAGAACACCAGCGAGAAGCCTCAGTATACACCCCATTGCCGTTGCCTGCTGCTCCTGTTGCTCCTGTTCCTGATTCTGCTGCTGCTTTTGCTGTTGCTCCTGCTGCTGCTGCGGGGTTGCCGTTTTTTCTGTTGAGCAAAGTGTTAACTACTGCTTTGATCTGGCCTGGGGTTAAATCCTCGGGGTCGACGGTAAAGGGGAAAGGATGAGGGTTTGTGAAGACAAACTCCTGGAGGGCCGGGGGGCAGTCGCTGAGGTCGCCAGCAGAAATATAATCGAAGTCTGCATCTTCTCCTTCTTGTTTTTCTTCTTTTGATTCTGTGTCTGTACGCCGTTCTGCTCGGTGCTGATCATCTGCATCAGCGCTTGAAGTCTCCTCTTCTAGGATATCTGTCAGTGCTTCATCTGCAGGGCTTTGGGTTCTCTTTTCCTTATCAGCCAGTGAGGAGGAGTGGCGGTGCGGTGATTCTGCATTTGAGAACCCCCGAGTAGAGAGATGTAAGCAGAGAGGGAAGAGAAGGTGTTGTTGCTGCGGCCTCGAGAGATTGCATTGGGGTGGATTGGGAAGAAATGAATTATAAGGAACATTCAGGATGCAAGGGCGGAGTAACTGAACGCGGAATCTCTCCACACTGTGACGAAAGCAAAGGAGTGGAAGCGCCATGACGGTCATCTGAGGTGTACGTACACCCGAAGTTGAATTGATGATTAACAACAACACTCAGAAACCTGCATGTTTCCCTGAACATTCTCTTATATATATATATATATTTCTTAAACCCTAAAAACAAATAAATCCATAAGCCTTAAACCATAAACGCCAAACCCTAAACACTATACCCTAAACCCCATTTATGTCGCTTTTCCTCTTCATCGAAACAGCAATCATGAATTGAAACTTGCAAGGGGTTGGCTTACACCATCTCAGGAGACTGAGCCCCCTACGCCACCGAAAAATATACTTCTTTGAACTTAAAAAAATAAAATAATTACTTCTTTTCAATTTCAAATACAAAATTTTCAATAAAATATGGCAATACACCGCTACACAGCTGCATGCATGCGGCTTATGATGGTCGGCTGCTGGTCGAGCCCCGCGGTTCTGCAGAATGTAGGTGTGAATGTGTCGATAGAAAAGTGAATTAAATCCCCTTTAAAAATAAAAATAAATCTATTTATGTTTAATTTTAAATTAATCTGATATGCTCCTGTTGGTTTTGGACTACCAATCTATAATACGCATGAAGTTGTATTGTCCTGTCCTCTGTAAAAGAAGAGTACTGACGACATGCACACTCATTCCTTTATTACCTTTAGCATATTCATTTATATTAATTGAGGAGTTCATTTATATATA